GAAAATTGCGTTATCAGCATTTATAAATTATATACATTTATATGATATTGTAGTTAGATGTGAGAATAGAAACCAGTACTATTGGTTAATTTATTATTGTTTAAACTAATAAAATAAAACTTGAAAATTGGCTGGTGAGCAGACATAGTAAAGTATTGATTTTAGGTGTTTTGTTTGGAAGAACGATATGGAAACTGAACTAAAGCTGAAATGGATATAAGTTACCACAAACCATGTCATAAAAATGTAATACGATCCAGTGACTAGGAGATTAAAATCTTATCAAGACTGCATGGTAGTTATAAACAAGGTGATGGTAAATGCTACTAGAATATCATATTAGTAAGTCATATAAGGATAGAGCTAAATCAACTTTAAGTCAAAAGAAATTTGGATCTCCCTACAAGAATAACGGTCACTGAATTTTGAGTCGTGAATTGAACTTACGATTATCCAGGTTGTAAGATGAAGGCAATTACTGAGTTTCATTTTCAATTGAGTTAGAGAGTTACGTTTATCGCCTGTAATATCATTTCTTATTATCGTATAATTTGGGACCATTACTAAAACATGATTCGTAATTATTCTGAAATTCAAGTTAAATGAATAATATGAAATAATCTATACTATCATAACCATAGTGTTTGTGTTATAACTTGTGGCCTGTGTGCCCTGTTAATGTATACCGTAATGGGACTGCCAATTAGAGAACAATGAATTATCGATTGGACCACTGACGCGTAAAACACGTACGAGCAGCTTGGAGTCCTTGTCGATCCTTCTTCCTGCCTAACCCAGCCAGTTATGTCCAAAATACCAATCTCAGCCTCTGAGATATGAATCGTTTATTTCAAACATACTGGGTTTATATACCAATCAAACAAACCATATTGTACCATAAAACAGAAAATAACATTTTTACATTTAGCCAAATGTGGCTGTGAATAAGGGAGATAGTAATTGAATGACAAGGCATAACTCAAGAATGGTCAATCATATAATAACAGTTCATGGGTCAAAATAAAGCTTATGATAAGAGAAACACGAATATGTATAGTTTATTCATTCAACAATTATACGATAAAAGTATATGCATAGTATTGGTCCATAACTGGATTCCAAAAGTTACCATTCATTATTCTCATCGTGATATAACAGTTAGTAAATGGTTTCAACTAAGTTTTATCTCTTGTATAAAAATTTTAATTAAATATATTTTTATAAACGCTAAAGCGCAGTTTTGTCTTAGCGTTGCAATCATAAATTAATTTTGCAAAATGAAAACGAATATGAAACTAATATGGATAGCCTTAAAGTTCCTACAATATAATAGTGTTGAACATATGTAGTTGAAATTCGTTCATCTGATAATCATGTTTTCTACAAGATCGATAGTACTTACAGTTTATTGGTAAAAAAAACAGTATAACAGTAACAACAAAAACAATAACAATGCAACTATTCAATATATAATAAACAATCCCATATAATTTGCTGAATGATTTCTAAATAATAACATGAGGTGAATCTATGCGAAAATTCATTCGAATATATAATCTATGTCATTGACTGTTATTAGTTTACGTAAAACTATAAACAAAGAATGATTGAATGCCTGTCCTAGATAGATTTAGATTGTTTCTAAATATTAAGAGAATTGAAAATAGAATTTAAGAATTTTGTTAAAATCTATTATTCAGTAATTTTACTCTTTAGATACTAAGGCAAAAGCCCATTTCTCAATGCCTGAACGAAACAACTTAATGAAATCACGAATCTATTTACGTCACCCAAGTACTGAAAACCTGGAAGCCCTGAACAGGTGTTTCACCCTAACGGGAGAATCCTCATCATTGTGAAACTGCAACCCTCATATTGGAGATCGAACCAAAGACCTTCAATCCTTCACGCGAACAATTCGCATTGCTGAGAAGCCCCATAATGGAATGAAACAGCCGTCTAGTGCTTACAGATTTTCCAGGGTAGTCTAGTTTAAATCGATTCATGAATTCAACCATTAAATTACTACAATTTCTACAAAACTTCATTATGAAAATAATTATAATAAATTAACTTTCAGAAAGGACTTATCACAGTCACATGCTAACAAAAAATTTTACAAGTGAAAGTTCACACACCTTTCGTTCCAGTTCAAGTAATTCACCCTGAGTAATATATTTTATATTTTATTTTCAACTACTATAAGGATAAAACCCATGTCAGTTATGATGATTACCATTGCTGTCTCAAAGAATCAAGTCATTTGTTTGAAAGAGCACAAAATCTCAACAATACTTTAATCATATCGCTGATATTTCGTCATTAAAATTAGTTCAAAATAAACTTTTATTTATACAGTAAAGAATTTTTCAAAGCTAAGATTCAATTTTAATACTAAAAATAATCTATTTGTGTAGAACAATCAATTAAATTATTCAATAGTTACAGATTTCTTAAAGAAATGATATATACCCATTGAGACATAAATTAGGAAGAATTAGTTCAGCGAAGAGTTATTTTTTCGGCAAATTCATTTTCAAAGTTGCACAATAACAAATATATATGATTATGATACTTTATAACTTAGGAAAACTTAACTGTTTACGAATCTTGGAATTGCATAAATTAAATTCAGTGCCTAGAAATTTAACAAAATACTAATTTCAGTGGTTGAGGTCATGAGTCAATTGAAGCTAGACCACCATGGGAAACCTGAAAGCACTAAAAGGCCGTTTCGTTCTGTTGTGAGACTCCTCAGCAGTGCTCATCCATAATCCAGCCTCGTAAGATTCGAACCCAGAAACTATCGGTCTCGCGCGCGAGCGCTTAACGATTAGGCCACTGAGCCGATATCCAACGGTGTTAATGTCTAACTTCAACTAATCCACGAAATCGAGCGACACATACACCATTGTCTTCAGTGAGTCACTACCTCACAACAGACCCGGTTCAACCCTATTGATCACTACTTCTCACTAGAACTTCAGGATATACCTCTTGAAGACAGTCACTTCAACTGACTCATGATTTCAACCACTGAAACTACGATAGTATCCATAAAACCCTTCTGATATGAAAATATTAGTTATTAGTCGATATTTTAGCAAATATAACTTTACGATTTTTTTCTGAATTATTTAGGGTTAATATTTTTTCATTTTAAAGTTTATGCCATTCTGAACAAGTTCTATTAGTTAATTATTTTAAAATAGTTAGCGTCAGACAATCCTTGCTTATTTCATCAAAAGAAATTGTAATTTCCTAAGCTGAAACATGTTAGAAGCAAGTCAGTGACTCACTAATATTGAAGGGTACGCTACCAACCGACTGGAGTTGTGAATGTAAGCCACTGGATTTTTACTGAGAAATATGAACGTATTATACTCGCCATATGATCCGTAGTTTGTGCCTGAGCTAGATTATATTTGCGCACTAATAAAAATCATTAGATAATGTCAATTCATGAACAAAACTATCTTTAAACTAACCAAACCTTCACGAGCATTCTGTCTACAAAGTTATGACAGTTTATTCGTCAACTGAAGAAAAAGTACCTAAATCAGTCACAAACAAAGTGAACCGTACTTCGATACATAAAATGCTCACCTTCTCATCAATTTTTATTCTATGTTTGTCAGTCGATAAGCTTTACGACTTACATTGCTAACTGACCATCTGATGATTTTTAACGACCGTTCATTAATAATCAGATGGTGATGTACAATCACAATACCCAAGCGAAATGCAAAAACTTCAGTATCAGAGTTATGAATAAATAAATTTGTGTCTTAAGTAACATTTAATTTTCATTTGAGATTAAAATAGTGTGGTGTTTGTATGAACTAATGATTACTTTGTGCTTGATTTCGAATTCCAAATACACTACGTTCTTTCATGTTCATATTGTTCTTCTTGGTTAAATTGCGTTATTTCTGTGATTTCTAATTCGTACAATAACTCAAATACTACCAATTATCACAAATAGTTAAATATTTATTGAAAAACGTTCGCATCATGTTTAACATACAAATGTTTCAAAATGTTCTTAACAAGGAACTATTTCGACATTAGTACTAAATGTTTTGGTATGCAGACTAATAGATATCGGTAGTTATATACTATATATTATCGAAAACTTACCTTTCATTCAACAAATAGGACGATAGAAAGAGTTAATTAAACTAATGTTAGCTGATACGTTTCATGAACATTGCGCATTCAACAAGAAAATGTCATTTACCTTACAAATTCTTTCGTTTATAATAACTTTACACATGAATAATTTCGCCTAATCTTTTTCATTTAATATACTTACTTAATGTTTACCTTATGTTTTAGGACTTCATTTAGTATCATGGATCAAACATCATGTAATGCGGTAAACATTTTGAAGATTGACTTTTAAAATTTCTTAGAAACAATATATATCATACAGATATGTTAAAGATAAATTGCTATATTAGTTCCCGTTGTTGTGTACCAACCAGTTTACTTTCCTTTGTGAAACGGATTTTATTGATTCTACGTAGTATCCTATTTTTAATTTAATCTCTTTATCCAAAACAGAACGCAAGTTACTTAATAGGTTAATTCTTGAAAATCTCATCAATTTTGGTCATGTAACACAATTAGAAATATCTTTGGAGATTCTGAAATAAAAGTCCAAACACTTTGGTATATAACGGAATGTAAATTATAGCTTTTGACAAATTAACAACTTATAACCCTGTATTTAAGAACAATAAACCAGGTTCTTCGTTTCACCATGATCTTAATCCTTTTCACTTTTTAAATATTTTCTATTTGTTCAACTGATACTATCACGTATTTGTTGCATTTTCACCTTCTTTTTGGTTTAGTGAGCAATCAACATTTAAACTTTTCATGTGTACATTATTCCCACTGTTTTCTGATTTCATTACTCTTTAAATCAATAGATCACCTTTTTGTCTGATAACTGGAATTTTCGGACTTTTTTACTGACGTAATATCAATATATTTTTCAATACTTTATTGTGTATATTGAATAGATACAACATTAACTGTACAAATTTAACATGTGATAATGAATAGGTATTTTCCTTCAAATTAACCTTAAATATTTTCATTAATATATGACAGTTAATACTATCTATCTATACTGAAGAAAAAATCTTTAGAAAAAAGAAAACTAATTCACTTCATTCTTTAAATAATATCCCAATTTCTTTATGAAAGTTGATTAATGAAAGTAAATGTATAAAATTGCACGTTTTACATAAGATGATATTAGAACAGAATTTCTAACACAGTTTTCATTTGAAATTGAAAATTTTTATGTTAAATGTCAAAGGTGTTGTAAGATATGAAATAATTACATGATAAAACTTTAATCATTTTGCTTATAACGAAAAATCTTAGTATAAAACGTTAATAACACTAGGATTAGAAATCCTTTACATAAAAGACGGACAAAATAAGTACTGAGATGGTGGAGAAGATTTGTAGCTCAGGTGGATGATTTTGATGGTTTTGTTCTCTAAGCCGGATGGTTTGGTCATGGAGCTTTTATCGTTCTTCTGAACGACATCATCAGCACAAACTTCAGATAGAAGTGAAGTGTTCGAATTTCTCCATATGCGTTTCATAGCTTGTTCTGTACACCTCGGTGTTGACTGATTCTTATTGACCAAAAATCGAACCAATGGGAAACATAACCAAAACAAAGAAGTAAACAATGACAGATTTAAGTAAGTACCCTTTGATTCTTATAAAGCACACTTTGTTACCATGTAACTTGGCGGGGGGATGAGTTAAAGACATAAGTTGAATAGTTTAACAGTAATCTAAGTAATAGATATACCCTTCACAGAGATTTTTACACACACTTTAAAATGTATTTTACGCATCAACATTAACCTTGTATCGATTTGAAATAATCTTAGGCTAAAACAAAAGATGATCATCTAAGAATTTATACGACTTTATTGTTATCGAACTTTAACTGGCAATAGAACAAATGAAGTACACTATAGCAAAATATGCTATCAACCTTTTTTAAGTGAAAACGGGTTCTTATCTTGGTTAGTGAAAATTCCTTAACATTTAGAAATACATAATAAACAACCGTTGTTAACAAATCTTTATTCTTAGACTTACAATAAGATATCGAATATCTTTATCTTAATTCTAAGTACCGGATATTAAGACAAAAAAACGTTTTATGAACTCATAAAAATAGTCCTTTACTGCTGATATTACCGAATATAAATGACGATAGATGAAGTTTTCAATTTAATAAAAAGAAAAACATTTGGTGCATACCTTAAAAGTTTGATTTTTGTTATCAATCATTTTTTATTAACTAAGGTATTGTAGTACTTTACAGCCCAAAAGAAGACTGATTATTGAAATAGCTAGTTTGACTATAGTCACTGAGTGGGCATTTTGTAAAACAATCAGCATTCAAAATAGTAAATGAAATATAAAATGATCTAATATCGTTAGTCAAAAACAAAGTTTGTTTTATGACATTCTTATTTTACAACTCTAGCCGATAAATCAAAATAGATTTAGCTGATCTTAAATAAACAAAATAGTACAGAAGCTTTTTGTGATCAAGCTAAAATATATCAAGCCTAATAAAATGATATAGTCTATGCAATAATTTTGGAAAAATCTTTTATTATTAAAATCATATCAATGCTGAAACTCATTGATTTCAATATTATAGATAACTCTAGGTCGCAACGTGATAGTGTGAGTACAATTGTGTACGTTCATATCGTTTTGCTTAGTAGATTTTACTAAAAGTTCAGTATTCAGTTTTATCAGTAAACTCAATACTTTGACTTTAAAATTTAATTCATAATTACACGAAAAAAACACAGTAGTTGAAATTAAAGTTGGCACCATTGCATATAATAACTTCAGTAAAGATTAAGAAAAAATGTAAACACAATATTCATTTTAATTTTTTTTATATATACATTCTGTCAAATGATTTCTAAATCGATAATCGTCCCTTTAGTTGGTTATTACATTTTTAAAATTACAAGTCATTCAATTATAATGGTGACTGTCAAATACATATTACATGAAAGTCATTACAGGGAAATTAACCATTAGAAAATATTTTTAAAGGACAATAAGTTTTGGAGTTTTTTTAATGTTCTCCTTAGTTTAAGTTAGTGTACAGTTTTCGTAAATAGTTTTGATGGTGATGAGCATTTGATGTCATTTAATAAGTGTTTATTACTTACTACTCCAAAATGTGGTATATATACAGATCATATAACGACTATTATGGAATACGTATGTTGATTTGAAAACGTTCAGAATTTTATTTCAAATTCTATTGAGTCAAAAATTACTTGTGATAACCTGACAATATTATTTAATATTAAGCACATCTTAACAATTAAGTCACTGAGAAGTTAGCAACAAGTTGTAAGGTTATTTTGTGATTCTCTAAAAAATTTTAAAAATGACCATTCAGAACACCTTAATCTAAAACAGTTCTAAAGTGTTGATATTGTGATTATTTATTGGTCAGTAACAACCACTGCTTTTCGCTTCGTTTTCAGATGATTTCAATAGTATTTGAATTAGTTACAATGAATTACTATTTCATTATTGAATACAGTTATATATATTATATGAATATTTGTCAGAATTTGAGAGAATAGTTCGGTAGAAACTTGATGCCAAGTATATAGAAGAAAATCAATATAAAAATTGTATTTGAATAATCAATTGTATTCCTCTTGGAGAAATTCACATCACATTACCGGAGGAAACATAGGAATTAATTGTGTTTCAATCACTGAAATTATTCAAATACAATTTTCATAGTTATGTATTGTTTATAATATGAATTTCAAATGAAAATAAACACATATGCAGCACTTAAATCCATCCTTTTTGACTTCTCAAATAGGTATTTACTGAATTACTTATAGTAATGATGCCTAAAAAAATTACTGAAATAAATTACTACAGTGAATTAATGAATGAGGCTTGGATTACATAATAAAAATATACAGGTCTATTTCTATGATGATTAATTAATAACTAGTTTTGAAATGACTCTCTCACTTTCATAATTGAAAAATATTTTTGAAATTTTGGAAAATATTTTAAAATTTTTACAAAATAAATTACCTCATTTTTATTTTCTACAAGAACTTGATCATATTCATTTAATGCACTTAAAAATATAATAGAAGTTACACTTTCAAAGGAATGAATCCATTTTCTTCGTTCTGATCTTTGACCGCCCACATCCACAATCCTTTATTATAATTTTAAACATAAGATAATTCTACAAGCACTAAGGATTAAACAAATACTCATTGGTTAATCAGTTTCATACATGGAGTTTATAATATTCTATGCAGTTAAAAGATAGAGTCTTAATTCAGAATGTTATAACAGTATGATAAGCAAATATTATTTTTTCATTCTATATAAAAATTTCTTCTGATACATAACAGTAAATACATTTGAATTCACTTGGTATTGTTTGGCTTGTATCTTCCCATTGAGGTTTAAGACTGCAATTAATCAATCTGTTATTGGCATATGTGCATACTGTGCGTATGTTTCGATATTGCCTTAATTCACAAGCTTTTTGTAAGCAATGATGGATAGTGGCTATTAGTGGAATACAAGCCGAACAATACCAAGTGAATTTAAATTCACCCCATTGCACAAGCAAGTGGCTATCAGGACACGATGGCGTTTGGAGCGATTGGTTTTGGGTTCGAGTCCCAGAGTAAACAGCAACTCTGAGATGCAGGCACACCCGGCTGACGAGTCTCAAATAGGACGAAACGCGCATCCTGGATTCCACTGCTAGCCGCTATTCATCATTGCTTACGTAAATACATTTGGTTTCAAAAAACTCCACATTCAAATTATTTAGCTGAGTTACCATACGTCTTTTATTTCTTTTCAAAAGCTTAAATCATCATAAAAAGAGGAGGGAATAACAGCAATTGGTATAGTAATAGAATCAGTAATAGTATTAGTAATATCATAAGATACAAATATTGTTAGAACTTGTGACGGTATTTGTAATTCCATTTTCTTTTTAAGACAAAAGTATTAATAATTTGTGAACTTGTATTCATGTTATTGGAAGGTTGAAAAATTTGCTCATCTAACGAAATTACGTGCGTAATTGTAATTCAAATTGTATCATTATAGTTTCTTTGTATTCCGTTTGGCAAATAACTAACCGGTAGCACAATAAGAATTTGAGAAATAACTTAATCCATACATCATCACTGTAAATTGAAGAAACATCGTCGATACAAAGATTTATATATTTTAAGGATAGAAATTAAGCCTTGTTGATTGGTAACAAAGGACTGTTTGATATTTCTAGCAACTACACATTTCATTAGAAAAGTGTGACTTCTGAATACTTGTTACAATTTGTTACATTGTTTGGATTCTGTTGTTATGCCATAGAAATGCTTTTATTCTCACTGTGTGAAATATTAAAGTTTTCAGCCCAGTCATTATTATTTTCTACCAATACTTTCTTTACAACATTTTAACAACTTAAAAACTAACCTGAAAACCGTAGAATCCAAATTGAACGGATATTCAATTATACCAGTTGTTGGTACGCGTACACGTAAAATATCTTGTAGACTTGGTAAATAATTTGGATCAGCTATTCTGTCAAAATTGTTCAAATAGCTAAAAAAAAGTATAAAAAACTACTTGAATATTTTTGATGACTGGTAACTGAAGTTTTTATGATGGCTATTTTTTCTGACGGGTCACATGTTATTATAATATGTTATAATGATTTGATGTTTTTTTGTCTGTTTTAAAAACGCTATCTGATAAGAACGTTGAATATTTAGAACTGAAATAAATTAAATATTACTGCTATACTGAATAAGACTGACCATTTAATAAAATTTCTAGATGTATCTCAGGATCCATATCATCAATATAGTAAGGAACTTTTAAAATATCAAGAGGACTAGACAAATATTTTATTTACACTCATTCCTATCCGATTATTCTATTTCTCTCTGGAATAGATGTATTTATTGAGAAGCTTCCATCACAGTGCTAGGTGGGATCATCATCGTAAGCTTCAAAAGCAATGTATGTTTCATTCCCAGCCGAACGTATGTCAGCATTTATCCATGTTGAATAATGTGTCGTGGTATGTATACCTGAATTAAAGTCAGTTAATGGAAAAATGAAGCTAGTAAGCACATTCTGTTTAGTTAACTTATTTAATTTACTTCTAAGGTGAAAATTTGAAGTCATGATGTGATTTTTGAAATATTTTTTATGTACAAAGTTATCCATGATTTATTTTTATTGATATCTAGTTTATGTAATTTCAGTTTTTATTAAAGCAAGAAGACAAAAATCCGTTGAATTTTTTTGCTTGTTTTGACTTGAACAATTTATCTAGGCTCTCAACAATCTAGCCAACTAATGTTAGGCGAGGGTTGTAACATCAAGTTACTTTCAAGTTTTTTTTCCATTCTAATGACGATTTACAACATTAGTCATTCTTCGTAAACAGTTTGGATATTATAGAGTCTAATATTTGAATTTTTTGCAAGTTATCTTGAATAGGTCTTTTTCTGTAAATGGTCACTTAATCGAAGCCTGTTTTGCTTCCTTTCATTTTTGCAAACGAGGTGTTATGAACTAAATCAATGTAACCATGTCTAATTTTATCTGTAAATAGAAAACAGAAAATTAGTTAGAAACATTTTTCGCCAAATATTTTGTATTTTTATGTTTAATTTTGACTGGGCATATCAATATTCTGATCTGATCAATTAACCGTCTGTAATGTTATTTTTCAAAATAGGCACAAGTAACTATCAATAATTAAATCTCAATGACTGGGCACCTTGGAATTTATGAGTTATTTGGGTTATTGTCTAATGTATATCATTTGTCTTTAAACTGTTATTTTTTTAGTTACAGATAGTCTACATAAAACTAAATGTTTTAACAGTATAATGGTAAATTTTTGCCCAAACTAAAATATATTATGCAAATATACATCTATATAATCAACTTATGTACCGTCTAGACACCTGTATTCCATATTACTTATTTATTAACTTTTAATTTTGTCTATGACCTCTCATGATTTAACAAAGTAAACTGAATACACCTACAAGATAGCTAAAAGCAGTTATGAGGAAGCTTGAACTTTACGTTTTGTTGTGGTTGGTGTTCCTAAAAGAGGTATAACAGTAATGATGGTGTAACTCATAACTTCGTAACGATTACGATTGGCACTAAAGAGTACCAGGAAGAAAAATATTACTATTGAGCTAACCAGAATAAAATGTAGGATAAAGCTTTCATGGACTTCATCCAAATGACTTACTGTAAATAAGGCGTATCAATCTGTCAATCAACACAACCCAGTGGCTAGATTGTCAACATTATCGATGACATTCAATGACCAATAGGCATCAGACAACCGGAAATTAATTATCACCAAGTGATTGGTAAATATAATAAAATACTTCCTCAGTAGTTAAATGAAAGATCAGTCTAAATAATCAGCAATGCTAGATAAATTTAGGCAAAATTAAATATTCAGAAAGTTGAGCTATATGCTACTCCATGTGGGTTAATAACATATTAATATGATGTAATTAGGATACTTGGTTATTATTTGAAATCTATAAAAAGAAATTTACATCTGAATGAGAAGTAAAAGCTTTTTTCTTAAATAAACAGTTTAATTTGAGTAACGTAAAAATGATGACTGATTTGTTCAAGTATAAGGATTGTAATGCACATTGTAATGACTTCAACCTAATTTGTTGTTTGATTGTGTTCAAATAGTTGCATGAATAAACATCCATTGCTTATTAATGAGAAAGTAATGATCATATTAAGGGATTCAGACATTTTTTGATTGATAATCTTCAGCGAAAAAATTTAAATAATCATTGCAAAAAATATTATACAAGTTTCATTTGCCATAATCTTTCTAACTTACTATTTCGATGAGTCGGACAATTGAAATTCTCTTCTACGTTCATAGCACTCTTTCATTCCTTGGTCAGCCCATAACTGACGTATAGCATTGATACGTTCAGGTGTCAGTTCAACAGAATCTTCAAGATCAACTTTTATGATAAGTTCCATATTTTCCTAGTCCCATTTCAAGTGAAAACAAATGAATTTTTGAGTTGTATATATAAGATTTGAGAAGTTAATACAACTCCACAAGCCATCATCATATCTAAGTATGAAATTCTAATGTTGAAATCGGTTTACATTCAACTTATACATATGATTTACATTAATGTAACATGAATTTCTAATATAAATCTCTAAACATTTTCAACCACTCCCATTAGCATTATCGTTCTTATTAAAATTTTATAATATATATATATATGAACTAGAGTATATATTAGTTAGCGAAACCTCTTAAGAGTTGTACTCAAAATGAGTGACTGATTAATTGTTGACAAATTACTGAGTTTACCTATTAAAGTGTTTGGTAAGAGATTCATATTCACAACAGTGCACATGCACAACTTTACACGAGATTAAACTAATGACATTCAGATCTGGCGTAGAGCACCATACTTTTAGATTACTTGTCAAAGTTTAGTGATTCATATTTTCGATTGCAGTCAATTCGCAATATACTCCAACCATCCCTATTATATAACTGCTGTGTATCTGCCATATAGTTTGTCACAAGTCATTGATAACATTTCAAAACATTTACCTCTTTGAGAAAAAATTAAAGTATAAATTTCATCTTTCAAACGAATTACATTCATCATAGTTGATTCATTCAGTAATAAAAATTATCAAAACTACGTTTTTCTATTATTTATAGGATAAATCATAAGTACATTTTCATTCACCAAGTTTATAACCAAATCGTTTTGTATTCATAAAGTCAGATTTAACTAGTCATTTCATTATTTATTTAATCAATATACAATGAATTAAAACTATTACACTAACTATGAATATGACACATAAATAACAATGGTACCAATAATGTTAGATATTGAATAAATTCCCAGAAAATAATTAACTCCTTCTAATAGTCTATTTGCACAGAAAACATTAATTAATTATTTAATAATTTGTAAAACTTCACTCAGAAATACTTGTAAGGTATTTACCAAATATCATGATTAATATGCTAATTAAACGTACAAAATATATGTTCATTACTTTATATGATTCTAATGAAACCATTTTGTTTAAGATGGCAGAGAAAATTTGTAGCTTAGGTGGATGATTTTAATGGAGTTCAGATCAGAGGAAAAAAGTCCATCAAAAACTTTGATGAAACTAAAATTTATGGACGACCTTTGAGCGATACTAGACTGACCTTGAGAGTGTCCACTTAACAACCAGGAATAAATGAGGGCTATGGGCCTGTGTGAGGAATTAGAATTATATTTTACAGTTGATGATTAAGCTTAAAAATTAGATTTCGGGTTTTCATCACGAACTGACATCACCTATCATGTCAAAACTCTATTTATCCAAATGGATGCGTGAATTTAGCACCAAAATCCGAGTACCGTTATCTTATACGTGATTTGTTCGTTCATAAATTATAGTCTCACTAAAACTTCTTGTTTACTTTTGAACATTATGCAAATCGAACAAACTAAAAATAAAACTGTCTTCTTGATAACTTGTTATTATTAGTCTCTGAAACATTTATTGAATATACTTTTTTTCTGATTCATTTAAACATTAAATAAAACTTTATTTATTATTTATTTATGTGAACACATTGATATTGGTACAAAGAGGCACCAAATACATATGCGCCACACAAATCTCATTTGATTTGTGTGAGGGCTGTGGTACTGCTCGAATGCCCAAACCGATGCAGGTCGTTTTCTCAGAAGGTCACATCCGGAGCCTTCGACCTAAAGGTCTGATACACAAAACAGTGGAGCATCGTAAGGAGATGCAGTTCCATGGTAGTCAGTGACCAACGATTGGTTCATACGCCATTTGTTCCTTCAAGATACTGGAGCCCATTTGCACCATTGATTTGGAATCAGGGTTTTCCAACTCTCCTAGGTTGACTCTCCGTGTCCACCAACCCGGTTAAAGCGTCTGACATTCGCTTTTCATCCTCTCAATTTCGTAAACAACACCCGCGGTACGAGAAGGCAGTGAGTAGGCCTTCCCTGGTAGAGGCTATATACGCGTGGCCATGTGAGAGCATTTCGAGAGGGTGAGCGGACTCTCCCCACTCTCTGCCATACCAGGGCATTTGGGGGCACTAGTAAAAATATTTTGTAGCTGAGTGGATAGACTATATTATTATGATAAATGATATTGTTAATATTCCTGGTAAATATTACCTTAAAATATTTTCAAACTATTAGGATTGATGATTTAATGTAAAAAACAAATTATAAACTATGACATTCATAAATAACTTATTTCAAAATTTTGATTTTTAACTTACTTGATTTACAGGATATTCTAATTCTATTGAAAGTGCACACAGTGCATCACACATTGTTTGCATGGCTAGAAAGATATTCTGATATACTAAAGTTTTAAAAGCATATTTTTCCATGTCTGTGTAACCAGCTCCATGTATAATTCGCATTTGTTTTACAAAAGTACTTTTACCGGATTCTCCAGTCCCTGGGGAAAAAAATGAAAAGAGAAAATTGTTTTTTTACGCATTCACAATTCAAATCAGTATTTTAAGCAGGAATTATAATGGATTTCTAACTGTTTATTTTGTTTTTTTAGAATTTCCCTCATAGCTTGTCTAGTCAAGATCTTTGGATAGAGTACATCCATAGGGTGTAAATTAACTAACAAACACCTCTAATTTCACATAGATAACTTAACAGGTGTCGGTATTTACTATGGCTACTTAAAAGGTACGGATCTATTCAAATTAAATAAAGCAGAATTTTTCAATATTTCCATGCAAATAACCTCAATATTTCATGATAATTTTACTACCAAATTATTACTGATCATTAAAAAATGTGTCAAAATTTTGTATGAAAATACAAATTTATGTTACTGTGTTCGATAGTTATTTATTAGCATGTTAATGTCAATGTTAATGAACACTACAAAAAAACATGAATGCTTAGAAAAGAACAGACAAAAATGTAATTGATAATGAGCAAATCTATGATTTAATTATAAATTAGCTTTATTTTCGACTTTAATAATAGTTCTCTTACATGGATTCTGTTAATGATTGACTTTTTAGATAATTTAATGTAAGAACAACTAGTGAACAACTTCGATACAGTTAGACGATTTAGACTTTGGACGCAAACTAGCTCCTCCATCCCATACATAGCGAAAATTGCATGTGAAGAAAGCCGATGAAGCGGCAGTCACTCCAGAAGTAGGTCTCAATATTCACAAGGGTAAAAAACACTATCCTAAAATATAACACTGAGAGTGCCAACCAAACCACACCTGAAAGAGAAGCTCTGGAAAAGATGGAAACATGAACATGCCTGGATAGTATCATTGATAATCAAGGGGGATCTGGTGCAGATCTACAGGCTTGAAATACCAAAACAAGGGTAGCAGTCCTAAAATTGGACAACATCTGGAACACGAAAAAACTGAGACTTGGAGAGCCACTACAACCATCGTTAAGGCGGTACAGATATCTATGAGCAGTTATCTACGCAGGATGCTCCAGATCCGTTGGCCAGGCATTATTAGCAAAAACATACTTTGGTAGAGAGCCAGCCAGCTTGTAGCCAAGGATAAAATTAGTAAAGAAGCTGGAGGTGGAAAGTTCAAACTACGGAAGTTATCAAACTGTATCACAAAGCAAGCCCTAGTTTGAAATCTTGAGGGCAAATGGAAAGGAGGAAGGCCAGAGAACAAATTGCTCCAGAAATCGGAAGCAGACATCAAAAGGACTAATAGCACTTGGGAATAATTGAATAAGACAGTACAAGACAAAGTTGGTTAGAGAATCATGGTTGGCAGCCTATGCTCCATGAGGGACAACAGGCATAAGTCAGTAAGTAAACAATGAATAGTCAGAGATCTCTTTAACCTTTATTTAAAGTAATGTTTATCTACTGAATCCTTAATTCAAAAAAATTCGTACATATAATATTACAATTCAAATAATTAACTTCATCTAGGTTTCTTCACTAGTAAGTGGTGTAATTATTAACATAACAAAAACTTACCAAGTAATAATAATTTCACTTCTTTTCTTCCTGTATTCTTGTCTTTATGTAATTGACGTTCAATTTCTCGACTAATTCGTTGTTGTTCTCTAGATTCTTCTGATCGAAAACAAGACATTTTAAATAATAATAGAAACAGATCAAAATTATTATTTTAAAGATCAAAACACTAACCAGTTGACAAGGTATTTATATAAACCTTGATTGAAGCAGATACCAAACATTATTTTCATTCATTGGATGAGATAAAATAGTAGATCATTAATTTCCTAATAATTTTTTTCTTATTTATTTCAGTTGGACACACCCTTGAGATTAGATCAAATTTGTGTAAATTAGAAATGTGAGCGAATCGGCAGATTAGTAGTAGGGTTATTAGTCAGTAGTAGAATATTATTATTATTATTATCGAAAAGTAATCTGGTAATATGATTTTTACATATAGATGTTATTTGTATTTATCATCTCGTTATGTTATCCATTTATCGATATAAAAATATTGGACTGTTTTTAAAAGGAAGCATATTTTAAATGAATTTAAATGAGCAACTTACATTTTTTCTGTGTAATACTTAAATCTAGGAATTTTCAAGTACATAAACATGATTTTGACAGATCTAGACTAAATAGAGACGAGATATGTATCTATGAAGTTAAATGAATCCTGTTGAATAAAATTAATCAAGTCAGTTCGAAATATCATAATTGTGAAGATGAGAAAGTTAAGATAATATTTACTTTTGTTTATGCTTTATAAGCTACAACCTTTACATGGATAAAATTAATTTCTAATTTTGATAATTATACTTAGAATAATCACCTTCTACATGTTATTTTTGTTAGTCAAATTAACACTAGCTATTATCAAGGGGTGAAATCAGTTTAATAATCATAGAAATTTGACGAGGATTGAACACTAGATTTCATGCGAACTCTCAAGGTTCTAGTTAGAAGCAGTGATCGGTGAACATTGATTGTATTAGAAATGTAAGAATTTTTAGTGATGACTATCAATAATCGTAACATTATATCATAAGATTACTGAGGTTGGAAACGTGACCCGTCAATTCCGTGATTTGAAGGCATTGTATTCATTTGGAAACATTTAGGTTCTGAGTTTGATCCCGTATAAAGTTGTCTACGTGCATAGATATGGTCTCAAAGATTTAAACAATATTTCCCCGTTTTTTATTATCTAACTGATTTTTGTTCGTTACCAAAAATGCCTTGATGTTCAAATTAAATTAACTTTAGATGACTGGGTGAAAATATTCACCTAGATATGAACAAACACTGTTCAGTAACTCAAACAACTGTTTAGAGGGATATTGCTTGCTTACTTACTTACGCCTGTCACTCCTAATGAAGCATAGGCCGCCGACTAGCATTCTCCAACCCACTCTGCCGTGGGCCTTCTTTTCTAATTCCATCCGATTCTTGTTCATTTTTCTCATGTCTAACTCCATTTCTCGGCGTAATGTGTTCTTTGGTATTCCTCTTCTCCTCCATCGGCCTTGAGGATTCCATGTGAGGGATTATCTTGTGACGCAGTTCGGTGCTTTCCTCAATGTGTGTCCTATCCATTTCCAGCGCTTCTTCCTAATTTCTTCCTCCGCTGGAATCTGGTTCGTTCTTTCCCACAGTTGATTGTTGCAATCGTGTTTATTCGTATCGCTATTTTATGCAGCAAAATACAGTACTTAACTCATGGCACAGTTTCAGATAAGTTTCTCTTCAAAAATATGTAAATGAACCTCGGACATCATACTAGACGTAATCAAATTAATATATTGAATGTAAAACAGATATTGTCTATAGTTACTTCAGAGTTTGTAACCGTAAGTGAAAGTTATGAAGACTTTATCACAGTTTTTCAGGTTTATAATTTCTATACGATATATGTGTGAGCAGAGATTCAATAAAATTTCGTTTTGCTTTCAATGGAACTTAACTACGAAGCCTGATATATATAATCCTACTATAGTCACCTTTAAATAGCCTTATCACTTGATTGTGGGAAGCAGCCTTGATCCTTGAACCAATTCGAAAGTGAGTTTATCAGTACTTTTTAAATTTAGTGATATAAAGTTTCGTAATTTTTTGCCTTTAAATTCTTTTTTTAAAAACAGATAATTTACTAGCACTGAATAGTTGTTAACAGTGGAATCTAGAAAAAATGTTTCATCCTTGGTGAAACTCACTTGCTGGATGCACATTCATCCCTGCATGGATATTAACAGTGGGATCCAAACCTAGTAACTCGATTGCAAAGCCTATGGCTTGTCCACTGAGCTACTGAAACGAAACTGCCATTAGCTAGTGAGACAGGTATGAATTTTACTTCTGAAAGTCTGCATTTTCACATTATTGCTGTTATAGACTGCAACTGGACAGTCTCTGTTGGTATATTTACTAACCGCTATCCAATTTAACCATACATTTTAGTTAGTCTTGATATACAAATATTTTACTGTTTATAAAATAAAACAACAAATTTTACTTTAAATGTTTATTGACTTGTGCATAACTGTTGAGTAACAAACACTGAAGTTGAAACATACAGTGCGAATTACACTGTAAAACATTTTTATCCATATATATAGTTTTAGCACCATATCACGTTTCATAATTTGAAACGAAAGTTAGTGTATGTTTCATGAATTTTATTACTTACGGCTGTTACTCTTCGTGGAGTAGCATAGGTCGCCCACCAGTACTCTCCATCGCACCCTGTCCTGGGCAACCCTTTCCAGATGTAATTCATCTTTTTCATATCTGTTGAAGTCTTCATGATCTAGTCAACCATCAGAAGGAAGAGGAAGGGAGAGATTAGACACCTTTGTGACCCCGGTTCATACTTGGAATGCAACTGTCAGCTGTCCTCCATGCACTACTTTGCACTGTAGTCCGCCGTATGGGTTCCGGATAATGTTGACAATCTTCTCAGGAACTTCATAATGTTCTCCTGTCCGCATTATAAAACTCCTCATAGTCAATGAAGTTGATGTATAGTGACTAGTTCGACTCAACTGATTGTTCGACGATGATCAGTAGTGTCGCAATTCGGTCCGTGCACGATCAATCCTTACTTAATCCAGCCTGTTGATCCCGAAGTTGGGCGTCTACTGCGTCTTTCATCTGCTGCAGCAACACTCTGTTGAAAACTTTTCCTGGTACTGATAGTAGTGTGATGCCTCTGTAGTTCTCGCATTCTCTCAGGTCTCCTTCCTTTGATATCTTGATGGGGTGTCCTTCTTTCCAGTCCATCGGCACTTGTCCCCCCATCCTAAATTTTCTTGAATAGAATGTCAAGCATGTTTGCAGTTTCTTTAATATCTGACTTCAGTGTTTTAGCTGGTATATTATCAGGTCCTGCTATTTTCCCACTCTTGATTTATCTGATGGACATCTTGATTTCTTCGATCTTTGATGGGCTGACATCTATAAGAAGATCTGTGTATGCTGCTTCGATGTCCAGTGAATTCAATTGGGCTGGTCTATTCAACAGTTCCTCAAAGTATTTTGCCCATCTGTTTCTCAGTTCTTGAATCACCGTGATTAAACTGAACAAATTAATATGATTAAAAAGTTGATTTCGAAATTCATCAAATTCTAGAATTAATTTTAGTTCTGCTTTGCTGCTTTAAATAAATTCATTGATATAATGAGAGCGTGATATGAGCTACTGATCTCAACAGATAGAAGTAGTATACACCACCAATCGATAGTGAAATACTTGGCGACAAAGAAGTGAACGAGAATAGAGAGTGACTGGTGTGGAAGCGAAGAAACAATCAAGTTTGAGACAATTGATTGACATTTTGCAAATGAAGTATTTACTGCATGAGTCTCAGATTTTACCAAGACATTCTGTAATGTTGTATTCCAATGCATTTTGTTGTCCCCACTAGTTTTCTTGTTCACTACAAGAGAATTAGTATTGGATTGTCATAAAGTAAAGTGTTATATCACTTTATAAGATAACTTAGTTTCATCCTCATTAGAAAAAATATTCAAAGATTATGAGTAATTTTAGTTATATTTATTATCGTTGATATCCACATATTTCACACGCTTACTCTTATATATTCATTGTCCATAGTAGTATTTTATTTGCACAAAAAATTAATGAATTTTCATGATTCACACACCTAGTTATAATACAAACATTTTAACTAATGACAGAAAGAATCTCTTGGATATAATATATGTTTTATTTGTAACTACATTGACATAAAGGATATCCATATACTGTACCCATTTATTCCTAGAAAAAAAAAGATCATAATCCAGCCGTTTGTGTTTACAATGTTGAATATTTTGAAAGAAGCCATTTGTCAACAGATAAATATCCTAGCAATGAGTATCTGATTAAATGTAACCGCAGCCAACATCATAAATTGTGGATACATTTCGCAAAGTAGATGGCAAACGACTCCTCATTTGGCTTAATGAACCAGCCTTAAAAATAGATTAAATGAATAAAATTTGATTATCATCTGTTGAAATAACTCTTGAATGAGGAATAATTAAGAACAAAATTTCGAAATAAAACGACTTAATGATGTGGAAATCACTATCATTAAGGCGAAAACTTTGTGATATATATGACATCAGTAGAAAAAAACCAATGCTGCAATAGGATGATACAGTCTGAGCAGTTACTGGATCACATAGAATTAGCACAATTTATAAATGCTATCTCACTGAAACTGTTGGATACAAATTGGGCTGTCGACTTTATTGAAACAATGACTTGGTAGTTCTTATTTTAAAATCATTTACAAACTGCATAAAGTAATATATTACGACCAATGCATAGATGAAAGAACGTTCAAATACACAGAAAGTCCTCAGAGTCCGCTCTCCCTCTAGAAATGCTCTCACATGGCCACGCGTATATAGCCTCTACCAGGGAAGGCCTACTCACTGCCTTCTCGTACCGCGGGTGTTGTTTACGAAATTGAGAGGATGAAAAGCGAATGTCAGACGCTTTAACCGGGTTGGTGGACACGGAGAGTCAACCTAGGAGAGTTGGAAAACCCTGATTCCAAATCAATGGTGCAAATGGGCTCCAGTATCTTGAAGGAACAAATGGCGTATGAACCAATCGTTGGTCATTGACTACCATGGAACTGCATCTCCTTACGATGCTCCACTGTTTTATGGATCAGACCTTTAGGTCGAAGGCTCCGGATGTGACCTTCTGAGAAAACGACCTGCATCGGTTTGGGCATTCGAGCAGTACCACAGCCCTCACACATATGTATTTGGTGCCTCTTTGTACCAATATCTATGTGTTAAAATAATAATAAAAATAACCCAAGTTAGGACTAAATATCGACTATTGAGAAATGTTAACGATCGCCATTCCGAAAATTATTTTTATTTGTGATTGAATATTTTCTGACTACATAAAATCACATCTCAAAAGTTACTGTAGTCATTTGGTTACTACCCGCTTGTTTTAAGACAACTGCATATACGACCGACTAAATCATTTAAACAGATTTTTTCATACGCTTTATTCTACTTGGTCTGATTAAGTAGTATGAGCATCTCAACTGATTTTGTTGTGCTGATTGTTGTCACCACTTCCTTTGAATAGAATAATGCTGTCTAACAGAAGTTATTTTTAATCTCTTGATGGCTGGGTGTTCTACAAAGATTCATAAGATTTTAGTTCATAGTTCAAAGTAACCACTTACCTTAAAGGATGTGAATGATTGTATTTTAATTTCTAGGTTTAAAATCATTCCCCCCAATTTTATGACCTAACCTGAGGCATACGTAGAAAGAAAACAAAAATTTCAGTAAAAACATTTTTCTTCTCGACTGTTTCACTTGTAAAAGCTGTAAAGTACTTTTATGAAACAATTAACACGAATAGCAAATTTTTCAGGTAGATAATCATTTGAAACCTAAAAGTACAGATGTGTTTTGTCCTAGTATGGGACCACAAACCACTGAGTGTTTCTCAAGAAACCGGAAGACTTTCAACTTTGTTCGACTCTAGATATGTTTATCTAGCTAAAATTAATGTCTACCGTTTTTAATGAGCTCTATGAGTTCACACAAGATAAATTTACTTAATAGTAAAAATCAGCATTTCGGGATCCTATTTACATGGTTTGTGTAAAAATGTTGAACATGAAAGCAATTGTCATTATGAATCCCCAAGCTTAGGAATTCGGAGATTGCATCAAGACTGTAATCGTCGAATCAGTATGGCCCACTTTCATTTCGCTTTTAAAAATCCCGCTAATAAGCCTACTAAGACGATAACATGGATGATTACAGAAATCCATTTATATTCGATATTAGATTTGGTTAGTTTGCCTAATTGGTGCATCAAGCTTGGTTGTTTCAATAGACCTCAAAGTCAAGCAAAATTTAAAAATTAACCCACAGTATTGATATGATTGTCACATCCGATATGTAAGAAATTTCAGGTGGTTAAGTTCATTTATATTTTAACTGTGGCTTGCAGAGTTGCAGCCACAATCTCAGTGACCAAAGAACACAGAATTAAAGTATATTACAAAACAATGAACACCCTTCTAAATGCTTTAGTTAGCATAAAAGAAAAAATCCACTTTATATTAACACAGGATTATGTCTACATATTAGGATGTGTCGATTGTGATGACTTCTTTATTGGAGGATCACGTGAAATCCCGACTCCAACCAAAGAATGTCACAGCTACACAAAAAACTGGAAAGACTCCAAATTAAATCTACAATAGCAGTCTACACCATTTTCAATAACCATCAAGTTGATATTAAAAACTATGAAATATATACAAAGACGAGTAGGTGAAGCTTTCCATATTTGCTTAATCCTACCGCCATCAATAGAAAAGAAGACATCACTA